AAATGAATCGAATCAAGTTGAGTATTTCGCTATTCAAGTTTAGTTTGGTTACTAATAAATGAGCTTATAAATGAACAAATTCATAAGAATTGCCCAACATATGTTTAAGCTCGATTCGACTGTTTTCAACGAGATTTAGTTGAACAAAAATGATTTCTAGATTTAAGTCCTAATATTTGAACTAATAACTTATTATAGCCTAAAATCGTAGTGCCGATATCTAATTGCTGAATTTATTAAATGACTGATAAGCAAAGGGTGAGAATTTATAGGCTTTACTCAACCTTTGTTTGGTTTTTAAGCGATGTGGGATTCATTTGAATATTAATAGATGTATAACAGAAAAAGATGATGGGAATATGTAGGCATTCCTATCCCTTATTCTGGTTCTTAACCGATGTGAGATTTATTTGTTTATGCACTGATGTGTAGTAATGGAATGCATTGGAATTTGTAGGCTTTACCAATGTGGGATTCAAGACGTACAGCAAAAGAAGATGGAAATTTATACAATTTACCCATTTTTTTGTTTTGGTTGTTAAACAATGTGAGATTTATTGTATAGGCACATATGTAAAGTAGAGGTAAAGGATGAAAATTTATAAACTTTACCCATCCCCTGTTTTGATTCTCTGTCGATGTGGGATTCTTAAAAATATGTTTCTATTTTTTCAAACTTCATTCAAAGTTATTATCCAATTTTTTAGGATATAAAAAGAGTTATTTAGTAATAATATTTTTTAAAAATTAAAAATTATTTTGCTCTATGTCATATATAGTTTTTAATGATATAAATTTTACATGATAATTTGTAGATTGATAAAAGATATTAAATATCAAAATAATCAACTTTTAATGTTTTAAACAAATTATAATCAAATTTAGTCACGAACATTAAACGAGTTTGTTCACGAATATAAATGAATCGAATAGACTTCTATTCATGTTTAGTTCATTTAACAAATGAACATAAAAATGCTATTCAAGATCATTTGTTAAGCTTAATAAATGAATATAAACGAACAGAAACCGAACATATCATGAATAGTTCATCGAAAACTCTTTTCGTTTATGCCTCTAGTTTTAGTATTTGCATCTTCTGACTCAATGCTTCACTTTTGTGACTTAGTCCTCTTAAATTCAAGTTTCGGTATCATATGGAATATTTTCAGTGTTCCAACAGATAGTATTTTACTTGGTCAACGCCTCTTAACTAAAAACAAGCTAGTTTCCAGCATCTTTGATACAAATCATTTAAGAGAAATGTTTCATATCTTTATGCAGAATGATGGGAATCTAGTGCAATATTCAGTAGATTCAGGAGGATCAGATACAACTGTTTATTAGGATACAATAACACAAAATACAAGAGATGGTGTGACTTTGAATCTTGATAGTAATGGACTGCTATACTTGCTCAATGCTACTGGATTCAACATAAAAAACTTGAGTAGTATAGTTAATGCAAGCAAGGCAGCCTACCCTACAACCATTGATGCAAATGGAATATTTTGATTGTATTCGCATGGTCTAGGATAACTAGGTAATTGATCAATTGAATAGTCATCTTCTAATGATAGATATAGTCTTAACTCCTAAAGGCTTGTGTGGCGTGAATAGCTATTGTATTCTTATGAATTGAAATCTTTTATGTTAATGTCCTCCTGGATTTGATTTCATCAACCAAAGCCAGAATGATTTTGGATGCAAGAAAAGTTACCCAAGCGGGAGTGAACAGAGTTTAAAACTTTTGACATATATGAATTGAAAAATGTTACCTAAGAAGAAGACTCATATGTTAGGAATAGTGACTTAAATCTTATAATAGATTTGTTTCAGATTGGTTAGATATTGCTTGATGGATAAGAAGATTTGCAAGAGAAAAATTCTAAGAAGAAAAAGATTCTTGATAGGCAAGTTTGTGTGCTTATAAATATGTGAAGTTTCTATAAGGTTAGATATGAAAAAAAGATATAATAGAGTTATAGGATTTTATGAGATAGACACCTCATAGGAGTATAGGAGATTAACGTCCTTATGGGTGTGTATGTTTGAATGTTTATGAATGGACTATAGGAGACTGAGAGGGTTCACATAGGTATAGTGTATGGATGCATATAGGTATGTGTTTTTTTGGGTTGAGAATACTTCATTGGACTAGAAGAGATTGAAAGTGTCAATAGGTATTGATGAGGCTGATATGATTGTATGATTGTAATTTCTTACAACTAATGGATCTTTTTTCTCATTCATAGATATAGGTTAGTTTGATTGAACTACATTAAATTGGTATATTTTGTGTTATTGATTGATCATTTGATTTCGCTTCTGCTGATGGATTGGATTATGGCTTTTTAACCTAATAGTAGTATCAGAGCTAGAGGTTTGAGATTTGAGAAGAGACAAGCCTAGAGGGGCTCAATTCAAGAAAGAAATTCGAGTTCATACTTTGATAGATCGATTTATGTAAAGCGTGAAGATACATAAAAGAAAATGATTGTTATGATACTTTCATTGCAAGTGAGCCAACCATGTCTAGCATAAAGATTGATGATTATTGAAGTTTGAGTTAAGGTGGAGATTGTTAGGAGTAATGACTCAAATCTCATAACAAATTTGTTTGAGATTGGTTAGATATTGCTTGATGGATAATAAAACTTGCAAGAGAAGAATTTTAAGAGAAAAAAGGGTTCTTAATAGGCAAGTTTGTATGCTTATAAATAGATGAAGTCTTTATAAGGTTAGGTATAAGCAAAAAATGTAAGAGAGTTGTAGGGTTTTATGGGGTATACACCCTATAGGATCCTTATAGGTGTGAATGTTTGAATGTTTGTAAGTAGACCAGAGGAGACTGAAAGGGTTCACATAAATATGGTGCATGGGTGCACATGAGTATATGTTTTTTTAGGTTGAGAATATTTTATAGGATTAGAGGAGATTGAGATTATCTATGGGTATTGATGTGGCTGATGTGATTGTATATTTGTAATTTTCTACACCTAATTGATCTTTTTTTCATCTGTAGACGTAAGTTGGTTGGATCGAACCACGTTAAATTATTATGTTTTATGCAATTGATTGATCGTTTGATTATGCTTTCATTGGCCTGATTGATAGAAAGCTTTTTGTCTAACAAGTAGTATCAGAGTTATCGTGATCTCTAAAATTATATTTTGCTTTCTTATCTTTGACGAGAGACGCATGTGGAGAAAACCGTATTAGTAATATTAGCAGTGAAGCTGCCATCTATGTTGACCCGGAATGCCAAAAGCTAAAGCTTCCATTGAGGTTTGGAAGGAAAATAGGTGATCCAGTTACAACTTTTCTCAAGGCAGCGACAAATGACGGCAAAGGAAACGATTGAGCGAGAAAGGGGCATCTTCATTACAAGCATTGTATTTTTCACGCTTGCATCTAGCATCCTTGAGTGTTCTTGTATATCGGTGACCCGTCAGAGGTTATCGGAGGATATCAAATCCAAAAAATAATGGATTCGCTGAAAATGTCACCAAGAGATCATTTTCATATGAGGAGCTCAAAGATGCATCAAATAATTTCAAAGAAGAAATTGGTAAAGGATTTTGCGGGAAAGTTTTTAAAGGGGTTCTATCAAATGGTAACAGAATTGTGGCCATCAAGAGACTAGAAAAAGTAGTGACTGAAGGAGAAAGAGAATTCTAAAATGAAATGAAAACAATTGGTAAAACACACCACAAGAACCTAGTTCAATTGCTCGGTTACTACCACGAGGGGGCTAATATGCTTATGATATATGTGTGTATATATATATATATATATATATATAGGCTAATATGCTTCTGATATATATATATATATGTATATATATGAATACATGAGTCATGCTTCACTTGCAGATTTTTTTTTTTCTTTACAGCTAGATTAAAGACAGATTGGTAGGGGAGAACTGAAATAGCATTGGACGTAGCGAGAGGAATTTTCTACTTGCACGAAGAGTGTGAAACCCAGATCATCTATTGTGACATCAAACCCCAAAACATGCTAATGGACGAGAAAGGATGCGCCAAAATTTCGGACTTTGGTTCGGGTAAGTTACTGATGTCAGATCAAACCAAGACATACACAGGAATCAGAGAAACAAGATGGTATGTTGCCCCTGAATGGTGGCACCAAAACTGCGAATATAGCTTTGGAATAATGTTGGTCGAGATCGTTTGTTGTGGAAGGAGGTAGACTTGAATGCTCCAGAGAATGTAGTAATTCTTCCACACTGTGTATGATTGTTTCTGTTCATGGTGCATCCAGGATGATCCATCATTGAGACTATCACTGAAGATGGTTATCCTGTTGCTGGAAGGGACAATGCACATTCCAGCCCCTCCTCTTCGTCCAACTTCCTTCACTACTTCCTCATTGGCTGTCTGTCAGAGTCTACAACCCACCAGAAGTTTCTGTCAGTAATGTTTATATATAAATAGTTAAGATCACATGAGAATAATCGGACATTGAATTTCATCTAATTATTAAAGCCTATTTCCAATGATCCTAACTATCGTTTTTATTTCGCCTATCACTAAGTCTATTTAGATTTTTCGGTTTAATTAATATTTTCTAATACGGTGATTCTTCATTGAACTAATAAACGGGATGTAAGTAAGGTTTTGTCTCACTTGAAAAAATTTTAAAATATTTAAATTTTAAGTTTAACTCCCATTAAATGTGAATATGTTGAATTGCATATTGATTAATAACAATAATAATAATAATAATATTATTATTATTATTATTAAAAAAATTGATTTATTTAGCAATTTTTATTTAAAAAGCATAAAATTTAAAATATTTTCATTAATTATTGAATCAAATGTTCAAATACAAAATAAATCAATGTTTAGAATTCTTAAATGCTAGATTTAAATATTATAATAACAATTATTCAAATACCAAATTCTTTTGTTAAAGAAAACTGGAAAAAAATGTAACTTTAAAATCCTGAAATATTCACTATTAAAAAAATAAAAAATCCTAAAGTTAAGAGGTCGCCAAATAACATGGGGCCATGGCAAAAAAATACAAAGGCTAGCGCACCGAAAATTAATTTCCTTCAAACACGGACAAACGTGACTTGCGAGTTGTTTCGTGACTCTTTGAGTCGTGACTCGTTACTCGTTGGAGAAGCTCAGCGGGAAATCAGATTTGTGCTTTGTCTCAGAAACAAAAAATCCCCGACGAAAATAATCAAAGGGGGGAAAATTAGAGAGCGAGAGCTAGGGTTTCCTCAATTGCCGGCCAAGGTCTTTTCTTTCTCTATCAATTAAATTCCTTTTTTTGCATAACGAAGATAAGAAAAAATAAATATTTATTATTGTTTTTGCAGAGGAATGGCGGATGGTTACTGGAATCGGCAACAGACATCTCCTCCGATGCTGTCTTCGGGTGGGATGCTTAAACGACCTCGTTCTGACTACGGTACACTTCTTTCTTTTGAAATCCTTTTTGTTGCCTTTGTCTTTGTCTATTTTGCAAAATCTTTGGTTCAATTTTGTTTTATTTTTAGCTGCTTTTGAGATTAGTTCAGAAAAAGTCCTAAATTTTCAATGAGATTGGTAGTATTTTGTTCGTTCGAACTCTGTGTTGGACTAAAGTATTGGTTTGATGTATTTAGTTTAATTAGATGGATATTTGGATGAGCATGCGTGAAAGTTGATTTTTTTTTTTAGCAATCAAAATGAATGCTGTAGAAATTTTAGATGTTCTATTTTGAAACAATCTGTTCAATATTCAATATAGAATCTAAGTTTTAAGTTATCAAATCAATTAATTGTCAGATAATAAAGGCATGATCATTGAAACCCAAAATAATAGATTGTCCTTAACCTTTTATCTTTTGGGGTCTTTGCAAGCTTGTATTTTGCTTCGTTTCTGTTGTTTCCATACCCTCTTCTTTTATTATTATTATTATTTTCAAATTGACATTTGTTGGACAGATTTCTTTGTACATATCCAACTGCTGAAATAATTTGAGTTGTCGGTGCATAGTTATTAGTTGCCACAAGTTACTTTTTTTCATCATAGCTAGTTGTCAATTTTATTCAGATTTGCATTTAGCCATTTACTTTGTGAATCGTTATTTTTATCTTTCCATTTTGTTCATAATAAATTTAAGAAATCTGCTTGTTTCACTTCTTGTATATCTAATAAAACTTATTATCTGCTTTAAAATGAGTTGCACCTAAATTTTCTATTTTCCAATTCACAGATGCCCCACCTTCTGGGTTGCATGCAGCTCATGAGATGCATAATTATTTGGCAAGAGATGATGATCGAGGTGGACATCTGTCTGTGAAGGACACAAAAACAATTGGATCGGCATATGACCGCTATCTCCAGAGTGCGGTACCATCTTGAATCTTTACTCATGCTTATTGATCCCCCACCATGCATCTCGATTTTTGTTTTCTAAAGCATTCATTTAATTGCTTTTGAAGAAATTTTCTTCTTTTACTGCTGGAGAAGCTAGTACATATGGTGGGTTGGGAAGGGCTGTTGGTGCAATGCCAGCTCGTTCACTAGCCGATCCTCCTGTGATGGGTCGTCCTGGATCTGCTGCTCCAGATATGGCATCAAATGGTCGAAATGTTGGTTATGGTGGTGAACTTCCAGTGGATGCAATGTCTAGGCCAGGTCGGGATACTGTACCTCTACCTCCAGATGCTTCCAATACTCTATATGTTGAGGGACTTCCTCCTGACAGCACAATGAGGGAAGTAGCCCGTATCCTATATAGTGATGCAATGCTTGATTAAGATATACTGATATGTCTTTTATGATAACATACTTCAACTTGATTACCTTGCTTCCAACTGTTGGTTCACATTCCTTGATCAAGGCTTTAGATATCTTTCGCCCATTTGTGGGATATAAAGAAGTACGACTAGTGAGCAAAGAATCGCGCCATGTAAGTGGACTAGACAATGGCGAATCCTTAATTTGTCTCCTGTAGCACGACATTCTTTGTTGTTTTCTTACACAAGTTAAATTGTCATAAGCCTGACTGTTTTGTTGAAAGCTAAAACCTGATGCATTGGTAATGCAGCGTGGTGGAGATCCTATTATCCTTTGTTTTGTTGATTTTTCAAGTCCTGCCTGTGCAGCAACTGCAATGAGTGCCTTGCAAGGTGATCTCTTCTTCCATTATTGTGACACTTATAGAAGGTAGCTTATCACTGGGAAGTGATACATGGTTTTTTTCTCAGAAAACACAATAGGAAACAATAATGAATGCAATAGAATGATATTGGTGTACCCAAGCATTTGGCTCAAGTGGTAGGTGCATGTACCCTCTACTCAAAGGCAGAGTTTGAATCCCACTTCAACCCCCCCCCCCAAAAAAAAAACAAAAAAAGGGTAATGTAACAAATGACCCTTGAACTATAGTAAAATGTTCAATGTGGTACTACATTAGACATTTTTAAAATTCAGGCACTACTTTGAATATTTCATTATATTTCAGAGACCATTCATGACATTAACCCAAAAAAAAAAAAAAAAAGAAAGAATTATATTGGTAGCTTTTTTGTGCTTTGTGGGTTTCCTTATATGTCTTGGTTTCTAGCTCTTGTAGGTTTGTGTAGTATCTTCTTTAAAATTTTGCCATGCATGCATGATTTTAGAAGGAAGTGAGCCTAATGCAGGTGGAAATATATGTACGCTTTTTTTTTTCAAAAAGCAATGCTATCAGTGGAGACATGCAATTGAAAAGACAAGTTTGATGTATGATATGCCATAGGTTTATCCCATCATCCATTGGCTGATATGTGCATTTGCATTAATGCTTTTCTCAACTTCCTGAGTAAGTTGATTTCATTGTTGGATTGTGCAGGTTATAAAATGGATGAACATGATCCTGATTCTAACTACTTGAGGCTGCAGTTTTCTCGGTTCCCAGGCCCACGGTCAGGTACTGGAGTTCGTGGAAGGAGGTGAATATCACACTCTGGGAAAAACTAGGCTGTATGCAAGCCAATTTTAATGGCTCACATCTTTTCTATATATGACAGGGTTTTGAGGAGTGGGTGTTTTAATTAAATAGTATATTTACAACTTGCAATTTAAAATGCTCAATCCCTCCAAATATTGGCACTAGAGATGCCCAAAAATTTAGGATGGTGAGGATCAAGCAATTGTTGAATTGCTTGAACATTTCAAGAAGCTGTGTTGTACAATAACTTCTAGAGAAAAGAGCTCTTTGTTTTTGGTAGAGATCATGGTAGCATTAGCATTTAGTGTTTTAAGAGAGGAATTAGTGTTTTCCACCTTACAAGCTCTGATATTGATTAGTCTAGCCAACACTATTCAGTGTTAGCTAATGGATTTATTATTGCGAATGTTAATTATTTTCTCAGGAGTTGACATCTGTTATATGTGATCTAAGTCTAACTAGCAAATCTGATATTGTAAAATTGCTTTTAGGGTCATTGAGAAAAAACAATGCTTCTATGCAAGCTATGACATGGCTTTAAATTCCTTGATTGCAACTCTGGTGAAACAGCATCGGCTTGCTTGCAGATGGTAATTTTGATGGGAGACTTAAGGAAAATCCCACTCGTTTCTCTTTACAGGGTTGTCATCCTCATTCAGAAGCACTTTGCTGCAAATCGCTGGAGAAATGGTCCACTCAATTGCTGAAAAAACAAATTGTTCTATTCTAAGCCCCTTGCAAAGTATATTCGGTCCAATTTCCAGTGGTCCAAAATGGTTGAAGTTTCTCTCTTTGGGCCTGTAGACTTGATATAGGAAAACAATAATTCTTTGGAGTTGAGTCCTTTTTTTCTCTCGGAGAAGAGAAAACTACAAACATGGTGCTAATTAACTAACAGATAATGTCACGAATGTTGAAAAGTTTAATGAATTACTTAAACTAAAAAAATTTTAATAATAATATTTAAATTATATATTTATTAATTAATTTTGTATGTGGGAGATTATTTATTCATAACGTTCTATTATGTAAAATTAATCACATTAAGAATAAATATTATATTAATTAAGAAATTAATAATTTAAATATTAAATTAAAAATTTTAAAAATTAAAATATTATATTAAATATGTTACTATAATTCAAAAAATATTTCCGACGTTAAGCCATTAGCTAACTATAATTGCCATTGTGTTCTTCTTTGGAAGGAAAGTGATTCAGGCAAACTCCTCTCCGCCAAAGCTAAAGCCCATGTGGGACAGCAAGGCTTAATTGCTTTCAAGTACAATCTTTTATTGATTTAGGAAGTTCGTGTCTGAGAATGGGCAAAAGAAAATATGTTTTTAAGTCCATGTGGGATAATCTGCTTATCCCCTTCGTTACTATGGTATACTTATAACATTGACTTTTTTCATCCTTGCTTGCATCTTCGATGGCATATACCTAACATTACACATTATCTCACATGGACAGTCGTACACAATTTTATAAAACAATGCTAAAAATAGTGGTTTTATTACTCTGAAAGCATATCATTTACAATTTTTTTTACTACAATATTATAATTGTTCAATTATAATAAAAAATATGTAAAAATATACTATTTATAAATGTAAGATCTATATAAAATTTTAATATATCTTATGTAATTTTAAATTGTAATTGATTAATTATATTACAATCATTGTAAATAAAATGGTCCATATTATCCTATGTTAAGTGACGGAAATTCTCAACTCTACTATTTTCCAAAACAAAAATTGATCAAAATTTTATCCTAAAACTAGATAGGAAGAGAGAAATTATCAGTTGATCATCGCTACTCATGTTTGGACGCAAAGAAAATAACAAAAAATCATGGCCTACCATCACCACCGCCACCCTAATGGTCGACATCTATCGTTTTTATGAGCAAGAAAAAAAAAGAGTTCCCCTAAGCTCTCTCTCTCCATATTTACAGCTTTAGGAAAATTGTTTGACAACTGCCAGATAAAATGACCCAATATAACAATGACAAAAGATACGTATAATGTATAACCGTCTGAAAAGTATTCCTTCGAAGTTTTCAAAAGGCAAGGGTTGAAAATAACAGATCAATTTCTTGATAATAATTTTAGATAAATTTGATCCATGGAAACTAGTCAGAATTTCGTGGTGCACTGTATATCATCGTTCTTCTGTCGGTGATAGGATATGAATTTAGAGCATAGAGTACAGATTCAAACGATTAATTTAATGAAGTACAAGTTAGTAAACATGGATAGTTTGACAAGCAAAAGATTTGGGAATTAGATTAAAGTTTTAACAGATATTTAGTGAGATGAAGTTTTGAGAGATACCTACCAATCATTGAGTTAAACAAATTGTTTAACAAAAAAATAATAATAAGAGCCTCAACTGGCACATGGTTTTTCAATTTTTTATTGCCATAGATCACAATATTTTTTAATGTACATATAATTTTTTTTTACAAAAAAAAAATACATTATAAGAATAAAGGATCAAATTATAAGTACTTTAATTTGAATTTTATATGATTCGATTAAATTAAAATTTGAATTTATGTATATATAATTTTGTAAATATAATTTTAAATTTATATATAAATTAATTAAATTAAATTTGAATCTCAAACAATTTTGAAGTTAAAATCTTAAATTTTGAACTTTAACCGTTGGCGCATAGTTCGGGAGGTAGAAGTAATCTTCTACGTACGTTTTGCACGGCTTTTTCCTCCGAGATTGAAGGCAATTGGGATTTCTGTCCTTCATCTGAGAAGAAAGAAAAAAAACATGGGCGGCTACCTTGTAACATCATTATTTTTTTTTACTGCTCATTGTTAAAAAAAATAAAGTCACTGTTAATGATAAACTCAAAGACGAAATCCTTATTTGTCAATAAAACTTTTGGGAAAGAAAATCAATCGCAAAGCTGTAATCTTTCTCTTTCTCTCTTTTCCTTTTTCGTTCATTCTTCCCCTTGCTTTTTGTTTTTTATTTATTTTTATTGTTACTATGTTTAATATAATCTTCTAATTACAAGCCAAGGTTGACAACTAAGGAATAATCAATAAGAAAATCAATAGGAAGTTGTGTTGTCTGTTTCTTTCTTGCTTTTTAAATTATTTTTATCTTTTAAAAACAGCCCAAGATTGAAACCTAAGAAAATAAATAGAAGCAATTGACGCAAAGCATAGACTGGAAGCACCTATGATTTATTGTATAATATTGGCTATCTAGAAGAAGCTAAGTAGTTTGATTAACAGAATACAGCTCGGGATTAGATATAGGCTAACCATTGAATGAATGGTGATTAGCTTGTGTTTCATATTTGGTAAATTTTCCAACAAAATTAAGGAAATTATGAATTTAACACGGGATTTGACATCAATAAATCTTTTTTCTTTAATTAAATAAATAAAATATGCAACAAATTTTTTTTGGGTGAAATTAACTTAGACATATTGAGTAATTGTAGTGGATTTTGTACAAGTTTGCTTTATTTATCAGATGGCAGCAGTCAATTTTGATCCTTCAAAAAGAAAGAATAACGAAATTGGACTGCTGTTAATTCGATTCTTTAGTTCCTATTTACAACAAAATGTCAACAAAACCTTTGGAAAAAATTGATTGCTTTCTTAGCTTTGTTTTCTCTCTTTATAATTCTTTCTAGCTTCCTTTATTTATTTAATTTGTAGTAAATATTTTTTTAACTTACCTTGTTTTTTAAAACCATCCCACGATTGAAACTAGAATTAAAGAATTACAGTTTTACCAGCCAAATTCCTCAAAAAGCTAAGTCTAGATCTAAGATTTAATCTTTTTTAATTTTCTAGGGCATTTGGATTAGTAAGTTAGTCAGGTAATAAAATAAAGTAAATTATACAATTGATCACTCAATTTGTGGTTGTATTTTTTAAAATGGTATTATTAAAATTTTTTATTTAATTATTAGAGTTTATGATTTTTTTTTTCATTCAATCATTAGTTTTTATTGATATACTGATAATGATATATCAACTATCAAGCGTCATATGACATTATTATATCAACATAAATTATTTTTTTTAAATTTATAATGCCACGTTAGCATGTCATGTCGGCACAATATTAGAGATTATCAATTAGGTAATAAAAAATATTTACTCAAACTTTATCATTAAATTAAAAATCAATATTTAAATGATCATTTTAAAAATGCAAATATAATTAAATGTCCAATAATATATTTTACTTTAAAAAAAAAAACGACTGATTCTAAAACCCTCCTAAAGTCATTAATAATTATTATCAGCTTGAAAATAAGCAAATTAGTTATGACTATCATAATTGAAACATGACAAATATACTCGTTGTCCAGAAATTTGTGACACATTTGGCATATATCCACATCAAAACTAGTTTGTCAAGCATTTAGAAAAAACATTTAGTGTTATTGAATTTTGTTATGTAATGCTAACCACTCTGCCTAATTTGATTTTGAATTTTCTACTTTTTTTTTGTTTGCTTTTGTCTTCAATTAAATATATTTTTTAAAGATTTAGGTGAGAAAAATTACTCCATTTTAAGAGTCGATAAGTTTTAACAAACACTGATATTGAACTTACATATTATCTATTAAGAATGGTTGATGATAACGAAAATCAAACTAAAATTTATAAATAAAATATTCGATATTTACCGATTCAATCAAATTACCAAGTTAATATTAATTTGATTGTTCAATAGCTAACTTTAGAGTTCAAATATAAAGAATAAAGAATCTTACATGTGTCAAAAACGGATGGTTTAATTGATAAAACTTATTTAATTAAACTCAAATCTGATAAATTTTATCTAAATTATTATAAGATTAAACATTTTATCTATCTCAATTTTTTTTCTATCAAAACAATAATAAAATCAATCTCTGACAAATGACTTCATTTTCGATTATTAAGCAATAACCGACGTTAATAATTGGCTGCATCGCATCTACACGAGATTTGAGAAGGATTTATAAAAGTTCAGTATAGTTGTTTCTAGAGATAGATAAAAAAAAAATAAAAAATAGAGAAGCAGTCAAAGTGAGACAAAATTACAAGTCCGAGTCTTCACCTACTCCTCAAATATATCCGTACCTTGAGTGGCTAGAAAGTGCTACAGATTTGTCAATGGCAGATGAGAAGTCATGCAAGAAAAATGAACGAATGAATGAATGTAGCGGGTTTTTAGACGTTTCCTAAGTTTTTTTCAATGGTTTGTTTCCATTTCCATCATAATTTTTACTAAATCTATAACTAAAGTTATCTGAAATTATCCCTAAAAGTTTTTTTGGTTTTGTTTTGCAGTTATATTTATCCTATGTTCATTATTATTACTTTATATATGGGAATAATAATTATTTATAATAAATCTCAGAGCCCCTATTTTTTAACATTTTTATATAAAAAATATCAAACAATTAAAGATTCAATGTAAATGCCTAAAGTATACTATTTTACATGTACAATTTAAATTATTTGTAGATTTTTCTGAAGCATTCTTTTTGCTTAAAAAGCTTAATTATTTGTGTCAAAAATGGAAAATAGATCCGGGATAAATACCCAAAAGACAAAGTAAAATATCAAGAGAAAGGTTGGAAGTCGATTCGGTATTTGCTTTTTCATGCTTAAATCGGTGTTTGAGGGAAAAATATCTTAAAAAATTAATGTTAGTCAAGTAATTAATCAAAGTGATGGAGATTTATTTATATCCCTTGCATTAAAAACAATTAATAAATTTTAGAAACAGTATTTTTTATTATTTAAGAAGGATGTCTACTTAATAATTTTTTTCTTATGTGATTATTATTATTTAATCTTTGAATAATAATTAAATTTCATAAAGGGCAAGCATGTGTTAGCTATAAAGTGCACCGCTGTCGTTGCTGTGGTTTTCTTGAAGCGATTAGATAATCAAAAAAATTAATCGTCTCTAAACTTATATTAAAGGATTTAATTAAATTTTGGTTAGTTATAAGTGGGGAATGATTTCCTCTGTCGGTGATTAAATTAATCAAATTGAGTGTATGTTTTAGTAATCCTAATTTGTGTTGCTTTCATACATACATATGTATATATAGGTTATGTTTGATACATAAAATTATGATAACATAATATTATAAATATGATTAAATTAAATAATGTCATCTTATCTTATATTTGATGTGTGCAAATATTAAAATAGAATAATTTATTTATTGATCAAAATTATCTTTTCTCAAAGTTGATATAATTTAAATTATTGATATAATTTTTAAGAATATAACAAGACATGTAAATTTAATCTTATGGATTAAAAATAATTCTCTAATTTTTTAAAGGATAGAATTATCCTATTAGCATAAGATATCTAATCCTTTCAATAATCCAATCCTTTTTATCGAAATGTATAACAAACATATAATAGAATATTAGTATCTTATTTTTCAACTAATCCTATGTGCTAAACATAGCCTTGAGGGATTAACTTACACAATGTAAAACTAAAAAAGTTTTATAATTTTTTTATCTTTTGATTTCAATAGATTCAAATATTGAGAGAGATAAGTAAAAAAAAAAAAAAAAAATTTAATCTTATCTCTAAAATATATTAAAATCATTGGTTAAAAAATGTAAAACTAATTTAATTTACATTGTATAAGTTGATTTCTTATTATATATATGCATATATATGAGTGCATTTTATGCAAAAGAAACCTTAATTTGAGGACAGAAAAAAAGATTATTGGTGATGGAATTTGAATATAAATTTGTTAATTATCATCTCTTTAAGATGATAACATAAACCAACTAAACTAAGATTCAGATTTTATATATATTTTAATTGGATTAATAAAGCAAACGGACTCTTTAAATTATTTTCCATGATACGCCCATAGGAAACAAAATTTTTAGAAACGACAATTAGAAACTGGAGATTCCACCGCAAAGAATTCTAGCCAAAAAATTCATGGAGAAGTTTGGGAACCACACAATGTTTTCAAAGCAATTTAATCTACGAAAGTGTGTATATATATATATATACGAGAAAATTTTCTGCGTGAATTACGGCATTTCATTTAAGTCAAAAAAGTATAGTCGTAGTAACGGCAGTACTGTTTCTTTAATTATTTATTATTTGCTTAGCAACCAACCTCAATCCCAAGCTGCCAAATTCAACGATTGGAACCTCTCCAGCTTTTTCCTCTTACATTCATGAAAACCAGTTCAAACCTACACCATTTGCAATTTTTTTATTTATTAATTTTTTTTATTGTGGCGTTTGACAAAGGTTAAACAAATTTTAAGTCGATTTTATGATGATTAGAAGGTAAAAACAAAATCTATATAAAGGGGGTGAAGAGGTTACATAAGAGCATAACCAAAACCAACTTTGTAGTAAAGATGGGAAAAATGGGGTTGACCTCTCTCTTTCTCACTCTTCTAGCGCTTGCAGTGTCTCTCAGCTTGCCTTCTCAAACCACTGCCGATTACCCTTACTCATCTCCTCCTCCTCCTAAGGAGGAGCCATACAAATACAAGTCCCCTCCTCCTCCGAAAGAGGAGCCATACAAATACAAGTCCCCTCCTCCTCCTAAAGAGGAGCCATACAAATACAAGTCTCCTCCTCCTCCTAAAGAGGAGCCATACAAGTACAAGTCCCCTCCTCCTCCCAAAGAGGAGCCATACAAATACAAGTCTCCTCCTCCTCCTAAGGAGGAGCCATACAAATACAAGTCTCCCCCACCCCCTCCTCCAGTTTACAAATACAAGTCTCCTCCTCCTCCTAAAGAGGAGCCATACAAATACAAGTCTCCTCCTCCACCTAAGGAGGAGCCATACAAGTACAAGTCCCCTCCTCCTCCTAAAGAGGAGCCATATAAGTACAAGTCCCCTCCTCCTCCTAAAGAGGAGCCATACAAGTACAAGTCCCCTCCTCCTCCTAAGGAGGAGCCATACAAATACAAGTCTCCCCCACCACCACCACCCCATTATGTCTACTCATCACCCCCTCCTCCTCACCACTACTAAGCTACGGTTTTAACCGTACCAAGGTAATATATATGCATTTACTTCTTTAGTTTTTTTTAGTATGTAACACCATTTTCCATAAATATTTTTTGCATTCAAGCTGCATTATGTCACATTTCCTTTTTTGAATTTAATGAGTTTAATGAAAAGCTCGATGTGTTCTTGCAGGAGAAGAGAAGAGTGTGATCCGAATAAAAGGACAAAAAATGGTTTGAAAAAATAAACAGGGTGAGAGAGATTCAGCAGAAAAGGGAGCCTAGTCTCATCGTTTGAAGAGAGGATAAAGAATAATGTAGACAAGTATTATTCATGTATTTGACAGTTGTATTATTCAGTGGTGTCCAGTACTTATTTATTTCTGCTTTATTATAAAATGAATCGTTTATGTATTGTATGTGTTTTTCAACCTTTTGCTAATGCATGGGTTGACCCGTAATAAAAATAAATCCATTCCTCTTAAAAAACCAATGGTTCACGTTTTTTCTTTAAATTATTTTGTTTCTTTCTTCTTTGGCTTTGAGTGTGATTGGGTTGAAAAGACTTACCTTTTCTTTTCGCAAATGATCTATTTTTCTTTCTCTGCATGAATTTGCATGGGCTTCTCAATTTCATGCAATTGGGTAGTAAAAGTGCCATACAGAAAAAACAAAAAACAAAGAGAAAATATAGAAATAATATTATATTATTGGCAATAAGGGAAAGGAAAATTTATTACCTTCAAAATAGTCAAACAAAGCATTAATGCACGTACTTGTGTTTGGAGAATTTGTCAAGTATAATCTGAAAGTTAAACGAGAAAAGCATAATTGGCTTTGTTTAATATTCTATCATCATTTGGAAATTATGTTAATTGAAAAGTTCCTACTGTTTCTGTTAACATGGATGCCAAAAAAAAAAAAAAAAGGGCAGAAAGTTGTTGTGGTTGGCAGATGAGGCTGCTCTTGAAGCAGCATAATTGGCACAAAAAATTAGCCAAATAGAGTTTAAGTTGCCTTTGGTTTGGCTGGCTTTACCTACTTTCCCTAGACAGCAAATATCCCATATGGTAATTGATAACAGTATGTAAGGTAAAGGACTCGCAGCAATTAACCAACAACTATATGACTTTTGAGCCTTTGACCATTTCTATAATTCACAAATCCCTCTTAATATTTTCACATATTCATTTCAGTAATTTTGTTCCATCAATAATTTTACAGATACATTTATTTATAATTAAATTTGAAAGCTCATTTTAAGTGCACGTGCATGAGATTAAATTTCATGAGTAAATTAGCTGTACAAACCGTATTAAAGGAATATTTTTCACTCTCGTTGAATTGGTTTCGATGGCTTTGTAAAAAAAAAAAAAATCTATTCAAACGAGGACTTTGAGTCTTTGACCATTAGCATACCTCAAAAACTTCACAAACGTGTTTTTTTTTTTTTTTTAGGGAAATCTTATAAACGTATTACTTTTCTAAATTGGCATCAAATTTTACAAAATGTATCCATCAATTGAATCGAAGTCTATTATAAGTTAATTACATGGATTGTATTATGGGTAAATTTGGGGCCAAAAATGGTAAGAAACAAATATTTATCTCTCGTTTTATATTGTTTTTGGTGGCTGCATAAAAGAAGTTAATGGAGAAATCCAAAAATCCCAAACAGTGGCATCAAGGTATTATGTCCTCAAATATAGTTTTGGCTTCAGTTGAAAAAAAAATGGAAAAAATGGGGTGAAATACATACGTGTGTGACAGAGGTCATTTTGATAATTAAAAGGTTAATAAAGGGGAAGAAAGAAGTGCATAATTTTGGGAATCATATAATCTCATCCCGCATACTGCGGGATCCACATGATTGAGAATTCATTGTATGTAAATGGAGAATGCCACTTGCAGGGTTTTTTTTTTTTGGTTCTATATCAAGTCAACTTTTGCTGCGGAATCACTTGGCTTGATTGATGAGAATCCGGAGAGACAAGCAATTTTTCTTTGAAGAAGAAAGGCAGAGATTAAATTACATATTTTTTTATACTCAGTCTGAAATTTTGATCTTTAATAACTGTAAATGAAAAGAAAAGAAAGCCAGCATATTATGACACATTTCAATTTCATAATCAAATTCTTCTTCTATTGATTGTAGATATGTTGAAATGTAAAGAAAATAAATTATAGTGCTCTCAAATGAGGTTCATACCAAAATTCCATCACAAATTAGTTAAGTTTTCAAAATCAATGCTTATTATAATTTAACAGGCACTAAAGTAAAATTTGTCACAATATTATGATTTAATATTTAATCTTATCTTTGTATTTCAATTTTATTAAATTTTGTTATGTTACTTTCAAATTTGTTGATATGTTTAACATAAACATAATAAAATTAAAATATTTTGCTAATGCAAATGATAAAATTTGTAACTGTACTTTCATAGATTTAAAATTATAAACAAAATTATTAACTTAAATTAAATGTATATTTGAAAGGATTAGATTTCCAGTAAAGAGAAATGTACAAATATCTTGATTTTCCTTCTCTTTTCTTATTATTTTCCTACTAAAAAAAAATTTTTTTTCTTTCAAAGATTTGTTACAAAAAGTGCAGAATTATTCGACATTTTTCCGTCCTTTTTTTTTTTTTTTTTGAGGGATGGTGTTTGTCATATTGTTTTGGTCTAAAACTTCTGCACGAAGACGTATTCACGACTCAATTAGAAGTGAATCTAGACAGGAACACATCCAAAGCCTCAAGCTAATTTTCCGAAATTTTGTTAGATTTAAATAATTGATTCAATCATATTTTATTAAATTGCAAAAATCAGTAGACCTTAATTTAAAACTAGTGTTAGGCCCCTATTTAGTCTGAATTGAATTTTTTACTTCAATAAATTAATTACCATAACACAATTAGGGTTAATTTAGCATTTCAATTGTAATTGGGTAAAATTTGAGTTGAAAAAAAAACATTTAAAAAGTATGATTAAAATTTTTAAGCGTTTAATACTGTTGTGAAAAAGTGCTGATAGTAATATAAATATATAAAAAATGCATATATATTTAAAATGTAGGGTAATATATTGATTTTCTTTTTCAAAAGCAACTTTTCACCCCAAAAATATTTTTTGAGTAATGTTGTAACGGTTTTGTGTCCGTCCGATGAATTTGAAAACGAAATAAAAAATAACGGAGTCGTCACCAATATTTTTTGGCTAAGTGCGATTGGTTACCTACTAAAACATATCATTTTAATAAAGTTTTAAAATTGATTAAAAAAGATAATTTTATGATCTGCGAAACAATTTGCGTTCGGGAGTCAGTTATGCGTGGAGAAGGATTAGCACCCCCACAGCGCCTGTTAAAAACGGTACCAATTAACAATGTGTTATCCTTTGATTTTGATAAAAATAGTTCAATTTTCGGTGTTCGAAAAATAATTTCCTTGATTTTTTTGTTTATAAGAAAAAAATTTTTATTCTCGAGAAAAATAAATTAAAACCTTTTTATTGAAATAATTCTTAAAATGTTTCAGTATGTTGGTAACATTAGAAGAACATTTTCTCACCTAGAGATTTCTTAGGCATCGCTCCTCGGAATACCTTAGAATCTCATCATCGGAGGCTCAAATTTACTTTTTGTAAAAAATATCATGCATGCAATACAGAATGTTATCATATTGATGCACACATTTTATTCTTTTTAGAAATTTTATTCATTATTAATATTTTATTTAAAATTTTGAAGAAAAATGAAAATTTCATTATATTGAAGATTTTCTATAAATATTTCAATAAACTGCTAGTATTTAAAAAAAATCTTTTCACCTACGGATTTCTTAAAGTATTTCTACTCGGAATACTTTTAGAATCTCATCATCGGATAAAATTTCTTTCCTTCTCATTTTATTACTTATATTTTTAATTAATTAATTAATTTTTATTTATTTATCTAAAAGAAAAAAAAGAAAAATTTTATTGTATTGAAAATTTTTTTTATAAATACTCCAATACACTGGTAGTATTTAAAAAAAAAATTTCTCACATAGAGATTTCATAGGTATCACTACTCGGAATGCCTTTAAATCTCATCGTCGGATAAAAATTTCTTTTTCTTATTTTTTATTATTCTTTATTGTTTTAAAAGATTTATTTTAAAGTTAATAAAATTATAAAAACTTTTATCATATATTTTACTATTTATTTTTTTATTAATTAAGGTTATAAAACAACAAAAATTTATTTTGGTAAATTTAAACATTTTTTACATGCAAAAATATTAAGAACAATAATTAAAATAACCAAAATAATATATATAAAAAATATAAAAAAATTTCTAAAATTTTTTTTTCTGAACCAGACCGGTCAATGGTCTAGTCAACGCGGATGCGGTCGGCTCGGCGGTTTGGGTGTGGTTCGACGGTTCGGGTGTGGTTTGGCTCGATCTGGGTGCGGTCTGGTTAGTTTAGCGGTTCGGTATCAGTTCGGCTCAGTCTGAGCGCGGTTGACTAGATCGGTCTAGGTCTAAGGGTAAGTCGGGTCACAGGTAGGTTGTGTGGACCTTAGGTCGGGTCGGTGGGTTGACGCGTTAGGTCTTAAAACGATATCGTTTTGGGCGTTTATTGAAACAATGTCGTTTTGGCTATTGACAGCTTATATAAAAGCCCAAAATTTTTTTTCGATCATTTCTTTCCTATTTTCCCAAAAAAAATGCCCTCTCTCCCTCTTTTTTTTTTTTTTAGGCTGACTTGGGATTGATGGCAGTCCGTCGCGATGACCGTTGTGGTTCTGTCAACAGCAAGATTCAACCACTGTCGTCGGTGTCGAAAAATTCTAAAAAACACCCACAAACTCCTTTCGACCTCCTGAACACATATCCGACCTCTTTTTCACCAAA